CATGTGATCCTGGTCAAATCACTTAACCTCTATGTCTGTCTCAATTTCCTCAACTGTAAAACAGATATCATAATAATGCCTATCTTATAGTGTCATTGTGAAGATAGAATGAGATAATATTTGAAAAGTCCTTAGCTCCATTCCTGGCACATAGTAGGCACTTAATGAATGCTTATTCCACCAATCTTAAACTCAAAGCATTTTCATCTTGGTAAGACCTCCCAGAGGCTGCACTCTGTTGGCATGACCTCCATAAAATGATGAGACCTCAAAATGAGAATGGAATGAAAAATAAAGGAAATATCAAAATTGAAAAAATAATTATTCTGGTAATTGAGGTTGTTTTATCAGTAAATAGATCCAGTACAGACTGGATAGAAAAACCAGCATCAAGACAGTCCTAAACATGAAAGTTGGTCCCTGAATTCTCCATTTTGGGGACAAGTATAGATATTGCCTCTGAAAGGCAAGGAAGTTTGAGTTTTCTTCATTTATATATGATTGATTTGTTAGTATATGCTTGGTGTGTACTTTTTAATTATATATGATCTACATCCCCCCAAATAAATAAATAAATGGTTCTAACATTTCCCTGTCCAGTGCTTTTTCCATTCTATCACTAAATATCAGCGATGATCTTATGACATTTTTATGTTGTTGTCTTGAACTCATTAATCTCCTGAATTGTTATTTAGCTTTTCACATGTTTATATTTGTTTCTCCCGACTGGATTATAAATTCTTTTGAGGCAGCATTATGTCGAGTACTTCTTTCTATTACTCACAGTGCCTAGAATACATGTTGTTGTTTTTGGTGTTCAGTCATTCAGTTGTGTCCTATTCTTCAAGACCCCATGGGCCATAGCACACCAGACCCTTCTATGCTCCAGTCTTCTGAAGTCTGTCCAAGCTCATGTTTGTTTTTTTTCCATGACACTATCTATCCATCTCATCCTCTGCCATCCCCTTTTTCTTTGGCCTTCAATCTTTCCCGCCATCAGAGTCTTTTCCAGTGAGTCTTGTCTTCTCATTATGTGGCCAAAGTATTTAAGTTTCAGCTTCAGTATTTGACCTTCCAATGAATAATCTGAATTAATTTCTTTAAATAGTGACTGATTTGATCTCCTTATTGTCCAAAGTACTCTCACAAGTTTTCTCCAGCACCACAATTATAAAGTGCTAATTCTGTGGCACTCGGCTTTCCTTATAGTCCAACTCTCACAGCCATGCATTGCTAACGGAAAAATCATAGCTTTGACTCTACAGTCTTTTGTTGGCAAGGTGATGTCTCTGCTTTTTAGTATGCTGTCCAGATTTGCCATAGCTTTCTTTCCAAGGAGTAAGAGTCTTTTAATTTCATAGCTGCAGTCACCATCTGCAGTGAAATTTGAGTCCAGAATATAAAAAGAATATAAAATCTAACACTGCATCCATTTCTCCTCCCTCTATTTGCCAGAAGTGATGGGACCATTGCCAAGATCTTAGTTTTTTTGATGTTAGGCTTCAAGCCAACTTTTACCCTCTCCTCTTTCACCTTCATCAAGAGGCTTCTTAATTCTTCTTCACTTTCTGCCATCAGAGTGATATTATCTACATATCTGAGTTTATTGATATTTCTCCTGGTAACCCTAATTCTGGCTTTTGATTCATCCAGTCTGGCATTTTGCATGATGTACTCTGCATATAAGTTAGTGCTCTTTTTCTAACCTTAAACTAATCAATTGTTCCATGTTTGGTTCTAACTGTTGCATACAAGTCTCCTCAGGAGATAAGTAAGATGATCTGATACTCTCATCTCTTTAAGGACTTAACACATTTTGTTATGATCCATACAGTCAATGGCTTTAGTGTAGTCAATGAAGCAGAAGATGTTTGGTTTGGGTTTTTTTTCTGGAATTCCCTTGCTTTCTCCATAATCCAGTGAACGTTGGCAATTTGGTCTCTATTCCCTCTGCCTTTTGAAAACCAACCTGCTCTCCTGACAATTCTTGGTTCACATATTGCTGAAGTCTAGCTTTCAGGATCTTAAGCATAACCTTGCTGGCATGTAAAATGAGCGCAATTGTTCAGTAATTTGTAAATTCTTTGGCATTGCCCTTCTTTAGGATTGGGGGTCTTTTCCAATCCAGTAGCCATTGTTGAGTTTTTCAAATTTGCTGCCATATTGAGCCTAACGCTTTAACAACATCATCTTTTAGGATTTTAAATGACTCAGCTGGAATTCTGTCACCTGTTACTGTCACCACCTACTTAGCATACTTCCTAAGGCCTACTTGACTTCATTCTCCAGGATGTCTGCTTCTAAATCACACCATTGTAGTTATTAGTGATGTTAATATATTTCCTGTAGAGTTTTTCTGTGTATTCCTGTCACCTCTTCTTAATCTCTTGCCTCTGTTAAGTCCCTACCATTTTTGTCTTTTATCATGCCCATTTTTACATAAAACATTCCTTTGATATCTCTAATTTTCTTGAAGAAATCTCTTGTCTTTCCTATTCTATTATTTTATTCTAGTTCTTTACATTGATCATGTAAGAAAACATCCTTATCTCTCCTTGCTTTTCTCTGGAATTCTGGTTTCAGGTGAATATATCGTTCCCTTTTTGTTTCAATTTCTTTCTTTCCTCAGCTATTTGGAGAGCCTCATCCAACAGCCATTTTGCTTTCTTGCTCTTCTTTTTCTTTGGAATGTTTTTTGTTGCTGCCTCTTGTATAATACTGTGAACCTCTGTTCATAGTTCTCCAGGCACTCTGTCTATCAGATCTAATCCTTTAAGTCTATTCATCACTACAACTTCCTATTCATAAAGGGATATTCTTTAGGTCATACCTATGTAGCCCAATGGCTTTCCCTCTTTTCTTCAATTTAAGTCTGAATTTTGCAAAAAGCTCTTGACCTGAGCCTCAGTCAGCTCCAAGTGTTGTTTTTAATGACTATATAGAGCTTCTCCACATTTGGCCACAAAGTATATAATCAATCTGATTTCTATATTGTCCATTTGGCGATGTCCATGTGTAGAGTCACATTTTGGGTTGTTGAATAAAGAATGTTTGCTATGATCAGCAAGTTATTTTGACAAAACTCTATTAGTTTCTACCCTGTTTTATTTTGTGCTCCAAAACCAAACTTGCCTGTTATTCCAATTATCTTTTGATTTCCTATTTTAGCATTCCAATCCTATACAATGAATGTGATTTTTGATGTTATTTCTAGATTTTGTAGGTCTTCATGGAATTGATTAACTTTGACCTCTTCAGCATCGGTAATTGGGCCAAAGACTTGTATTGCTGTGATACTGAATGGTTTGTCTTGTATTCAAACAGATATCATTGTCATTTTTGAGGTTATATACCCTAGTACTGCTTTTCTCACCCTTTTATTGACTACGAAAGCTAAAGGAATCTTGCCCATAGTAGCATATGTAATGATCACCTGAATTAAATTCACTCATTCTCACCTATTTAAGTTCATTGACGCTGGAGATATCAATGTTCAATCTTTCTACCTCCTGTTTGACCATGTCCAGCTTACCTTGGTTCATAGATCTTTCATCCCAGGCTCCTATGCAGCATCAGACTTTGCAGACCCATCTGTGGCTGAGCTTCCTTTCAGCTTTAGCCTGGCTACTTCCTTTTTTGGAGCTACTTGTAGTTTTCCTCCCCTCTTCCCCAGTAGCATGTTGGATACCTTCCAACCTGAGGGATTCATCTTCTAATAATGTATCTTTTATCATTTTAGTACTGTCCATGGGATTTTCTTGGCAAAGATACTGGAGTGGTTTGCCATTGCCTTCTTCAGCTCATTTTACAGATAAGGAACTCAGGCAAACAGGGTTAGGTGAATTGCCCAGGGTCACACAGCTAGGAAGTGTCAGAGGCTCGTTTTTTGCTCATGAAGATGAGTCTTCCTGATTCCAACCCCAGTGCTCTATTCACTGTGCCACCTAGCTGCCCCTAGTAATTTTTACTAATTGTGGCAGAAATTGGACCAGAGAACACCCTTTGTAGCATGCATATATTTGTTATACTTTTAAAAGCATCTCTGTAAAAGTATAAGGGCCACATGTGATTTTTTCTAAAATTTTATTAGTTTCTAATAATAATAACAGCTTTTAGCATTTATGTAGTACCTATTATGTGGCAGGTACTGTGCTAAACTCTTACAAATATTACCTCATTTTTTCTTCACAATAACCCTATGAGATAGATACAATTATTATCTTTATTTTATAGTAAAGGAAACTGAGAAAGACAGAGGTGCTGTGACTTGCCCAATGTCATACAGCTAGAAGTGTCTGAGAAGGAATTTGAACTCGGGTCTTCTTGACTCCGCTAGCATTTTATCCACTGAACTACCTAACTGCCAAATAAAAGATGATTATAATTAAGTGGGTCTCCCCTCACTAGAGGTCTTTAAGAAAAAGGTATATGAACACTTGTTAAGCATATGGTGGAGGGAATTCCTGGTCAAACAAGCATCGTACTAGATTGTCTCTGAGGTTCTTTCCACTCCCAACATTCATGTCATGAAACTGCCTTTAAGCAGTGTCAGCCCTGGGAATAACTGTGGCTGAGTCGACTGCCTCCTTCTATGACGCTGCCAGGCTCGGGTCATTCATTCTAGGGAGAGGGACCTGACAAGCTTTTCCCCACTAAGGTTTCAGCAATTTAACATTTAGTTCTTCCTAAGGATGTTTGCCTTTTAAAAGTACAGAGGAGTTTGCTTATTATAAAGGAATTAATGGTGGAATTTCAGGCACTATGACACCTGTGTGGGGACAGTATTTTGGGCATAGGGGAGTCTTCTCACATTCCTCAAATACTACCACATAGGCTTACACCATGTATGCAGAAAGCTGCCCTGTGTTGTAATATTTAATATGCAGAAACCCAAAGTCTGTACTTGTTTCCTGGGGAGATTTCCAAAAGATCATTTCATGATGTAGAGAGTGTATTCAAAACTACAGCTGTGTTTACTGGAATTGACTTATTACCTCCAGCAGGAAAGTACTCACAAAATCAGAAAAAAAGGACCGAGAAGAAGTGAAGGCCTTGGGTCAGCTTGATTGACGGTGAAAGAAAGTAATTTCGCTTTTGAAATTGTCTCCTGCCACACCATAGCACCTCTTTGTCAGGTTCTTTTTTGCTGTTCTAGGTTAAAATATCAATGAAATAAATTTACAGACAAATAAACTTTCAAGAGAACTTGATAAGTTGTGTGTACTTATTGTATCTCTTATGCTATTTGGTCACTGCTACACTTGATAATATCTGTTCCAATTCTCTCACTTCACGCTTTCTTATCCTCCTCTTGTTTACATTTTTGTGTTTCTTTTTGAAGTTTATTATAAGAATTGCAGGATTTGACCACATTATAGGTGTGTCAAAGGCACCGGAAACAGGTGTGGTGAGTATGCCAACTCGGGAGCCATCAGGAAAAACAGGGAAATGTGGGGGAGGAGGGATACTGGTATCTCCAAAATGCAGCCTCAGCACTAAAAATTTGAAGCCAAAGTTTCACTCTTTGTTTTGCATTACCTTTCCCCATGGCCTGTCCAGTTTTGTTTTTTTTTTTTTTTGGAGGAAATCTGGAGTCTCTTTCAGAATGCAGGCTACTACCAGATGTTTGAATACCCAAATCACCATGCCAGTAGCTTGAAATTCATACACATAAACCCCAGACATGCTAAATAATATTTCTGAAAATTTCCCATTGAAGCCAACGTTACAAAAAAGTTGCTTTGTGATGTTTTGTTTAATTTTGTTTTTTTAGTTTGTCATTAGAATTAAAATGGTTTTTCATCATTGACACTTTTAAGTTCCCATACTCAGGCCTGGTTGTCCAGGTTAAAGGGTTGAGCATTCACCACAAACCCACCCCACTCAAGCTTTGAATCAACTGCAAGGTCATGGGTATTACAGATGGAACTCAGGAACCTATAATCAGTTAGGCAACAGGTCGAGTTAACAGATGCTGTGGTGTCAGAAATATCTCAGAAATTCTTTAACAACTAAGTTTATCAAGAATTTCTAGAAACTAATGGAATTTTAATAAAGATATATCACAGAGTTTAAGTTAACTTGACATGTTGGTCACTTCTTATCAACTGTCATTCCTGTTCTCAGCAACACTCAGCAACCAGACAAACAGAAGATATCCTCTGTCCCTTCCAGGCTAGAGTAGATTGAGGGCTGGCAACATCTCTCCCTTATTCTCAGATGATGCTTTGAACAGGACCTAAACTGATCTATACGCAGCAGCAGTCATTTCAGAAGCATTTTCAAAAAGAGCAGATGTGGTGAAGGTTCAGCTGCCATATGTCCAATATAGGTCAATCTGAATTTTGGGGAAGATATGTTTATTTCTGTAGGCAGCTAGGTAGTTCAGAGCTCTGGGCCTGGAGTCAGGAACATGAGTTCAAATCCAGCCTCAGACACTTGCTAGCTGTGTGACCCTAGGCAAGTCACTTATCCCTTTTTGCCTCAGTTTCCTCATTTGTAAAATGAGCTGAAAAAGGAAATGGCAAACCACTCCAGTATCTCTGCCAAGAAAACCCCAAATGGAGTCAGGAAGAGTTGGACACTACTGAACAACAACATCGTGTTTATTTCTAAATGTCCTATAAATACATTATAAATACAATAAATATATTGTATCCCCTGAGATACCTCTATAACACATGTGAGCCTCTCAGAAAAACTACCCCAGATTCAAGGTGTTGTATGGTCTACATCCACTCAAAACCATAGTTGACGGGCCCCCATCAAAATGTTAAGTTGTGCTAGTCAAAGGATAAAGTTACTTCAAAGCACAGATATATAATGAAATAATATAAGAAAAGTAGCAACAACCCCAAAACCTAGGGTGCATTCTTCCGTAGTTATATACATTATCAGTGGAAAGTCCTAGGCCCAAGCTGTTAGATCATGTCCTGAGGGAGCACTTCCATAGACCCTCCATTCAGGTGAGGCGATAAAGTTTGAAGATGGATAATGGCAGTGGAATTAAAAGAGAGAGATTCTTTATAGGGGCTTTACAAAGGACTTTTGTTACTCTCCTATGACAGAGAAGAAGATAGGGCATAATCCATTGGTAGCCTTAATGAGTGGTTAGGGTTGAGAGCTGAGCTGTCTGCTGTATTAGCTCGAAACCAATGGAAGTAGAAGAGGAGAGAGCATGAACCTGGCCAAGGTTTATCACTGATGCCTATAAACTTCTGACTGTTAGGAGATCTTCCCACAAAAGATCGCTCTTGGGATTTGTGGACTTTCCCCTTTCACTTTAAATAAAATATTTCTGAGCCAGGTGCTCAGAAATAAAAAGTGCTCAGAAATACAAATAAGTAAAGATGTAGTTCCTGCCCTCAAAGAGCATATAATATAGTCTACAAAGGAAGACTAAATGGGATGTTCTGATTAATTGGATTTAGGTGTAGGAGAGAAGGGAAAAAAAGTTGATTCCAAAATTTGGAGCCTGAATGATTAGAGAGATTAATGGTATCTATCTTATGCAAGTTGTTTTATCTAAATGAGCCTCAGTTTCCTCTTCTACAATGAGGGATTAGGCAGTCAATAAACTTTATGTGCCAAGAGGAGGCAGGTAGGTGGCTCAGTGGATAAACCACTGGGCTTGCAGTCAGGAAGACCTGAGTTCAAATTTAGCTTCAGACACTTACTAGCTGTGTGACCCTGGGCAAGTCACACTTAATCTCTGCCTTAATCCACTGAAGAAGGAAATGGCAAACCACTCCAGTATCCTTACCAAGAAAACCCCATGGACAATATTGGAGTACTGTGGTCCATAGGATCACAAAGAGTTGAACATAACTGAACAATCACAACACATGCCAGGAACTTTGATGAGCACTGAGGAATACATATACAAAAGTAGAGTTTCTGCCCTCAAGAAGCTTACAATCTTATGGAGAGGGTGAAATCCAAAGGAATGCAGCCAAGTGGGAAATGATCTCTGAGAATCCAGTTCTAACTATGACAACTAGTGGCAGAAATAAGCGAATGTGAAAAATGAAGTGGTCTGGGTGGGGAGATGATGAGCTGATAAGAGTTCCATAGCTGAGTGAGGAGGGAATATAGGTATGTCTCTATCATAAATTAGCCTTGGGCATGTTTAGGCCAGTCTGATTAAAGTTGGTCTGGTAGTTCAGGTTCAAGATAGTAACAAAATGAGATACTCAATAGACCATCTAGACAGGGTGGGAACCTGTGGCCTCAAGGCTACAGTGGCCTTCTACATCCTTGGGTTTGGCCTTTTGACTGAGTCCAAGTTTTACAGAACAAATCCTTTTATTAAGGATTAAATCAAAGGGCTACACTTGAGGACCTAGAAGGCCACAGGTACCCCACCCCTGAATAACAAAAGAAGGTTAATTTACCCACAGTACCTAGAACATAGTGGGTACTTAATATTTATTGATTGATTGAAAAAGATATCAGCAAAGATATAGCAATGGTCCGGGTAGACACTTCTTTACCCTCTCCCCAAACTCCTCATCTTTAGACAGAAATGAGTTGGGTCTGGAAGGGGTGGTCAACAAGGTATGGCAACTAATGTGCTGTGGGACATCTGCCAAGGACTGATTGCTTATGCATGGTCTGACCTTTTGTTCTACCTGTAGGTGGCTAGGAAGCTGCATCAGTGGCTCAGGCCTTAGCTACCTAGACAAATCAAATCTTGAGGACAGCTTCCTTACCTTTTAGGGGAAAAAAGCTATTTTGGTCTATAATCTGACAACTTGGTAGATATTGTTCCTACCACAGGATAACTTGTTGCTGTAAGAAAAACTTTCAGATGTTTTGTGCTTCTTCTTTCCCTGACCCCAGGTCTTGTTCATTGAAGGACATTTCTTGCTCACACACTTCCTCACCCCTAACTTGGGGTTTGGACCTTTTTGTACTCAGACTTGGTTTATAACTTTTAAAAAATTTTTCTTATCGATTATATACTTGATGACCATGAACAGGAACAAACATTTTAACAAAAAAAGATTGTGAAATTATGAATTTATCACAAATTGCTTTTAAACATACATTAAATTTAACAAGTAACAGAACTGTCTTCTTTGTGTTCCCCTCTGAACTGCTTTATTTCTTCTGCACATTTAAAAATTATTTTATTGATGCTTTTTTTGCATTTCTATAAATATCCACTAATACATCTCCTACCCACTATGTAAGCCCTCTCTTATAACCAAAAAGTATAGCTAAGCAAAACACAGCAATACATTGTGTCTGAAAACATGCCGCAATCTGCACCATTGTCCATCATCTTTCTGCCAAGAGGTGGAAAGCAAATTAGATCATCAGTTTTCTGAAGTCATAATTGGCCAATGTATTGATCAGAATTCTGTAGTCTTTCAAAGTTGTTTTCCTTTTCATTATTGTGCTCATGATGTGAATTGTTATGTTTTCATTCATTTCACTGCATCAGTTCATAAAAACTCTCTAAGTTTCTCTGAATCTTTTGCATTCGTAATATCTTACATCACAAGTAGTTCAGCCATTTCCCAGTTGACAAGAATCTGCTTTGTTTCCAGCTCTTTGCTTCAATAAAAAGTATTACCATAAATATTTTATACATATGAATACTTTCTTTCTCTTTGTCTTTGACCTATTGTGTTATCAATGGTTCAAAAGATATGAATAATTTAGTGACTTTGGGCATGTATTTCCAAATTGCTTTCCAGAATTATTAGACCAATTCACAGTTCCAACAGTATATTGGTGTGCCTGTCTGCCCATAGCCACCCTGTCCTCCAACAAATTTTTGCCAATCTGATGGTTATGAAATGGAATGTCAGAGTTTTAATTTTCATTCCTCTTCCTCGGAGATAAATAATCAAAGGATATGGACAGGACATTTTTCAAAAGAAGAAATGAACACTATGAAAAACCTTATAAAAAAAATGCTCCAAATCACTGTAAGAGAATTGCCAGTTAAAACAACTCTGAAGCCCATATCCACCAGACTGACAAAGATAGGGAAAAAAGGGAAATAGTGATTATTGCTGAAAATCCAAGAAAGAGCTAGCATTGGCTATGTCCCTACAAAGAGCCTTCCTCCAACTGTTACAGTTCCTCTTGATTCAGTCACCAATCTCTTTAGCAAACCTCCCTCCCCCTAAAACTTTTCAGCATCTCTCTCCACAGAACCCAAAGGACCAAACAGGAGCCTAGTACATGCCCTCTAGTAAAGAGCCTCTGTGTTTGTGTATGTATGTATGTATAAATGTGTGTACAAAATATTATATAGAATAACTATAAGATAAATATATGATGTTATATATTTATCTTACATTCTATATAATATTATATGTATATATAATATATTCTCCCTCATGGAGCCAAAACACATATGTCCACAACCATAGGAAGTACTCTAATCCCACTCCCTCCAAACTTTGGATATATTTTGTCCTTCATTACTGTGTATATATTGTCAAAATAAAGCTACTTGAGGGCAAAGACTGTTTTGAGTTTTGTCTATACACAATGCCTTGCACGTAGGGAATACTTTAATAAATTTTCTAACTGAATTTTTAGGTGATCCTCACTCCTAAGCACAGTAGGAGTCATCAATTTCTGTCAGCTTCCTAGTAGAGAAGCAATATCCTTTCATACAACTCTGTGTTGGGAAAAGTGACTTGGAATAATTGGGTTTGAGATGGGTTTCTGAGACCAGAAAATCTGTAAGCCTGGGTCACAAGTTTTATTGGCTTCAGTTTCCTCATCTGTAAAATGGGGTTACTATTACTTGGGCTACCTACCTTACAAGGTTTTGGTAGGGGAAAAAAAGGATTTATATACTTAAAAGTGCTTTTAGATATACTTACATTTATGTGAGCTCTTCTAATTTAAGCAAATCTTTTGATTTAAGGTCAAGTTCCATTAACTTTGTGGTAGGATTAAAAAGCACTTTATAAACTTGAAAGTGCTTTAGATCAATATCCATACATACATACATATATGTATGTGTGTATTATTCTAATTTATGGATCTTGAGCAAACCTTTTGATTTAAGGACAAGTTTCATCAACTTTGTGGCGGTTAAAAAACATTTTATAAACTTGAAAGTGCTTTAGATCAATATACATACATATATGTATATATGTATGTATTATTCTGATTTATGGATCTTGAGCAAACCTTTGATTTCAGGGCAAAACTGCTCCATTAGAAGCCACATCAACCTTAACTTACTAATTTTTTCCATAAAATTTCTGGGCCCACTCTACTGGGCTTGGACTTCTCCAGGCTTTTTTTTTTTTTTTTTTTTTTAATTTTTATCGATCATCCTTTTCCCAGCTAGCTAACTGTGCCTGAAGCCTCGTCCATCCAATGAGATGTTTATAAAGAGCTTACTTAGTACAGTGCCTGGCACACAGTAGTGCTTAACACTTGTTTCCTTCCTTTCCCCTAACCCTTCCCCTTCCCGTGGAAGGCATGTCCTGTGTCAGCTCATGCCCCCTTTGTCTGAACCTGCCGTGAGTTAGATATCTCCTCTGAATGCTGTCACACCACATCGCCTTGGAGGCAGCATGAAGCAAAGAGTTCACTGGAGAGGGGGAGCCTTGCTTTATTTAGTTCTTTTTCCGGGGAAACTAGCTGCAGCTGTTTCAGACCAGATTGTGGAGAAAGTTCAGAGGAAAAGGAATTGCTTGCCCGGGACATTGCTGCAGTTTCCAGAAAGTGACTGGATTCCGACTAAACCAGTTCTCTCTCCGGCCAGTGTAAGGGGATTGCGCTGGCCGAGCAATGGCCCACTGGCTGGGGAGGGCCGCATCTTGCCTCTGTCCGCTGAGAGGCGGCCCTGGGCGCGATGCCCACGGGAGGAGGGCTGTGTGGGGGGCGGGCCAGCCAGAGGGGCTGCCCTCCCCTGCGGTGACGTTCCCGGCAGGAGCTCTGCTCCTTCCAAGGCGCCCTCGCAGTGGTCGGCTGTGGGTCCCAGGAGATGTTGCTATTGCTGCTGCAGCCCTACTGCACTCCTCACAGCTGTTAAGGGCACCCGGGATCCTGGGGCCATGCAGCCCAGGTCTATGCATCCTGGAGCGGTGCTAACCGCGCTCCTCACCGCAGTCTTGGCTTGGCCGCGGGAAGAAGGGAGCCGTCTCCTGAGTGGTGAGATCCCCGCTTCTCCTCGTCCCTGGGGTGCATAGCGGCCTGTCCCCGCTAATCCCCCGCCCTGGCCAAGCAGCCCTTGCTGCCTGGGGTCCGAGAAATCCCCTGTGCTAGGATGGGGCGGGTAGAGGGACACCTGAGGGTCCAACCTTTCTTAATTCCGCAAGATTCACTTTACACATATCTGGAGAGTGTATGAACCAGGTAGAGCGGAAAGCGAACCCGTGCCCCTGGGCTCCTTTCAGCCGGCGACTTGAGCCGTCGAGGCCCATCCTGACTTTACTCGCCGTAGGCTCCTCAAACCTACTCAAGCAACCCCCTGAAAGGCGGGGTGCCGCCCTTAGCGTCTCTTAGTTCCATTGCCTGTGTTCCCCGGGATTTGTTTTAACTCTTGGGAGGTGTACAAATTGGAGTGGAGTGGGATGGGCAGATTCCTTCCACTAAAATACTTACGCTTAGAGATCGGAAAAGATCTGTAGTTACTGGGAACCCACCCCGCCTGATTCCCGGGGATGACTCGCTCTCTTTGCTTCCTTCCTTCTGTCGCTTCATTCCAGTTTCGGACTTGGACCTCAGAGGAGGTACAGTGCTCTGGCTTCTTGCCTTTTCCAATATAATTTTGCATGCCTGAGGAATGGAGGGAGGGGGGAGGAGGAGGAACATAATTCACTTTCTACAGATATCTTCCATGGAAGCTGGTTCCTCTATAAGGATGTTAGACTAATAAAGAGAGCCAGAAAATAAATAAATAAATAGCAACTCCTTTTCAGTTATCCCTAGCCAAATAGACCGTTACTCAACTACCCAAATTCAAAATATGTCATAAGTAACCCCAAATCGTTTATGTTTTGAGTTGGGTAATAGAATTTGAAGCAGGGAAAGGCTTACCTTTCTATATGTGCTTGGATCTGTATTGCATAGCCTTCATATTTTTCTATCTTCAGGGAGGACAATAGCTAGATGGTTTAGATCGATTTGTAGAAGTCAACATTACGATGACTTCTTAGGAGGGAGAGGAAACTAAAGTCAGGAAGCTGGCCCAGATGATCAAGGTCCTGTCCAGCTCTGATTCAGATGAATAGTTTTTATTCCCTGAACCCACACCAGCTGGCAACCAAGATGTGTGTCCCAAGAAAACTGGGGAAATAAAACTGAATTGGGAATTTAGAACTTCCATGGATAGTTCACCAACAGGGAATTGAAAGCTGACTACAATCAGCTCCTGTGTCAGATTGTTAAATTTCTGAATTATCAGGGCCTGTTTCTGATGATTCTTTCCCCCATCCACCTGTCTACTTTTAGGAAATGCCACAGTCCAAACTCCCATCCCATGTACAAACCTACTCCATAACAACTGGAAGATATTATTATCCCAGCTTCTGGCTGAACATATCCAGGGGTGGATAGCTCATTCCTTGGCAAAGCATCTCATTCCTTGACACAGAATGTTCTGTTGAAAGGACCACTGGACTGGTAGTCAAAAGAACTGAATTATAGTCTCATCTCTGCCTTGCAAGTCCTTTACATTTCTGAGTGTGTCTCTTCATCTGTAAAAACAAGTGTTAAACTAGATAACCTCTAAGCTCCCTTCTAGCTCTAACAATCTGAGGTATTGTTGGACCTAACTCAAAGTTACAAGATCTCTATTGAATAGCAGTATCTGAAGAAAGTTAGGAAAAGGCAGAATCAAAAGGGACTGGGACTTGGGGGGCAAGGGGGTGAGGTCAGGGGAGAGCACTGCTCTCAGAAACAGAAGACCCACTTTAAAACTTGTCTGTTATTAATCACATACAGGATCTTGATCAAGCATCTTCATTTCTCTGAGCCTCAGTTTCCTCTCCAGTAAAATGAAGGAGTTGGACTAGATTAGGAGTTCTTAACCTTTTAGATCATGTAACTCCTTTGGCATTCTGGTTAAAACCTATAGACCCCTTCTCAGAATAATGTTTGGTTGTCTACACTCATAATAGACAGCTACTGTCACAATGGGATAGTGGGCTGGACCCCAGGTCCGGGTCAAGAAGACCTAAATTCAAATCCTGCCTCAGGTACTTTTTAGCTGTGTGAACTTTCTAGCAAGTCACTTAACATCCTCTGTCTCAGTTTCCTCAACTGTAAAATGAAAATAATAATAGTACTAACCTCCCAGGAATGTTGTGAGGATCAAATAAGATAATATTTGTGGAGTCAGCTAGGTGAAACAGTGGATAGAGCACCAGCCCTGGATTCAGGAGGACCTGAGTTCAAATCCAGCCTCAGACATATAACACTTACTAGTTGTGTGGCCCTGGGCAAGTCACTTAACCCCATTGCCTAGACAAAAAAAAAAGATATTTGTAAAGTGTTTTGCACACTTTAAAGTGTTATAGTGAAATACTAAAACTTAGTTTAAGGTTAGTGAAATTAAAGATGTAATTCTTCCCCAACTTCATAAACTCCCTGAACTCTGTTCATGGATCCAGGCTAAGAATCCTTAGACTAGATGGTCTCTATGGTCGTTTCCAACTCTTGGTCTGATGTGAAACTCAAATCAGCTCCTTGTTTAGAATGTTTGGTGAGATACTGGAGGAGAGGGGACAATTAGAGAAGAAATTATGAGGTTGCTGGATTACCTGTGGATTTCATTTTTCATTCCTATGAAGATTTATCTGTCCTTAGTACAGATAAAGGATTTGGCTGCATGTAAGCACCTTGTCCTGGTTTTCTGGTAAGGTGGGTTAGTATGATTGAAGCAGTGCCGTCCCACTCCTGAAGCAGGAGAGGGCAGCCATGTCAGTAAACTATAAATTTCCTAGAGATGGAAAGGACTGGTTATGAAACCAAATTTCTTTCTCTCTCTCAGTGGCTGCAATTTATATTCATACCTCAAGACTTAGCTCTTATATTATATGGCCTTAATCTCTTTCAAAGACTTTTTTTCATCTTTGCATCCTCTTGGAGTAAAAAATCAGATACTTCTGTGCTCTGTGACGTGGCAGCATTTCATATATGATGATGTTTCAATGAGGCTGCATGAGATGAGTGCTGGAAAGAACGCTGGATTTGGAGTCAAATGACCTGAGTTCTAAAGCCTTAGTTTGCTCATCTTTAAAATGAGAGGGTTGGGCTAAGTGGCCTCTAAGGTTTTTCAATTCTAAATCAGTGGTCATATTGTTCTTTGATAAAGATTTATACAGAAGCAATATGTCAGTAAAAGATGAAGCATAGTCCTCAGCAGAAGAAATTCTGTAACTTAATGTTTTAATTTGTATCACTATCTTTTGTTTTTAACATTACCTTAATTGCCAAATCCATAAGTCATCCTTTGTAACAAAGAAGAAAGAAGAAGCGGAGAGTGGTGGAAGCAGTTCAGGAAACTAACACACTTTAGCCAAGTCTGACGGTGCATGCAATGTTCCAAACCCATAGTCCCTCATGTCTGCAGAGAGTACATTTTCTCATCTATTCTTCAGAGACAAGCTTGGTTATTATAACCGCACAACATTCAGTCATAAAATCATAGGATCAGAGACTTAGAGCTGGAAGAGGACACGGAGGTATTGAATCCAGCCCTTTCATTTTACAGATGAGGAAAATGAGACCCAGAAAGACTTTTCTAGACTTTTCTAAATGACTTTTCTAGAGTCATGCATCTGACAAATGTCCAAGGCAAGATTTGAACCTGAATCTTCCCGACTTATAGTCCTATACTTTGTTTACTGTTCTTACTGCCTCTCAAAAATTTTTTTGTTCTTTCCAATTGTGTTGCTATAATTATTGTGTGTATTCCATCAATAAACCAATCCACAAGCATTCATTAAGCACTTACTGTGTGCCAGACAAAGAAAGCCAAAACAACAACAATTCCTCCCTGGTTCTGCCTACTTCATGTGTTTCAATTCATATAAGTCTTTCTATACTTCTCTGGATTCTTTATATTCATTATTTCTTATTGTGCAGTAATATTCCTTAACATTCATGTACCACAATTTATATAGCCATTCCCTAGTTGATGGGCATCTACTTGGTTTCTAATTTTCACTACCACAAATTGTGCTGATATGAATATTTTGATACATATAGGACCTTTCTATCTTTGACCTCCTAGGGTATATACCCACTACCTATTTTAGAGAGATGGTCTTAATAATCTCAGGATACAGTCAGGTAGGATGCATCACATTAACTCTCTAGGGCAACCTAAGCCTGGCTCTGTTAGGCCATGTCAAGGGATAAGCCCTCGGTAGCAATGTACTTTAATAGCTCCTTTCCTTTAACTCTTCCTCTAAAGAGAAGACTGGGAATAATCTATTATTAATCAACAAGTATTTATTAAGCACTTACTATATGCAGGTCACTGTCTTAGGTGCAGGGAGGGAGTAGGGAAGGGGAGCTATAAGTATAATGAATGAAATAAACTGTACTTACAATCTAATGATGACAAGAACACATATAAATTTAAAGTCTACCTATACATTAACCTCCAATCCTGCTTTGTAAGATGGGGACCGTTATGTTTGACTTCTCAGTGAGCCTCCTAACTCAAGGAGTCATTAAGCAAATTTGTTAATTTTGATTGTCAGAATCTCCTGAGACTCCATCGTGTCACTAAAGAGAGAATTGCCTCCCATTGGGTGAGATTGTGAAATCTCCTCTGTCTGTGCCTATTTCAAGGAATAGGCCTTCTGCTCTTCAGGAATCTCTAATGGAATGAAGTAATGTTTCAGTAATCAGAGGTAGGGTCCTTACATAATGGAAGCAGGGGACTTTCAATCACTGCATCCATGAGTCAGCAGTGTGATATAGCTGCCAAAAAAGCTAATGAGATCTGAGGCTGTATTCAGTTCTATCCAACTCAGCAAGCAATTACTCAGTGCTTACCATGTGCTGGGCACTATGCAAATGTTGGGGATATAGGAGTGAAAAGTGACATAGACCCTGACTGCCATGAAGCACCTAACAGTCTAGTTGGAAGATAAAATGTGTGCACATATAACAAGGATAAAGGTGGAATGTAACATGTGCACAGTGGAGTGGTCAAAGAGATAGTGATGAGAAGCATAAATGTACAGAAAGGGAAGATAAGAGTTCAGTACTCTGTTCTCATCAGAGCACCTCTGAAGCATTGCACCACATTTAGAAGGTACACGGGAGTTGGCCCAGAAGAACTCAAACAGGAGAGTTATGGGAGGACAGGACCTGAAACTATGTCAGAGGAGGATTGACCAAAGGAACTAAGTATATTCAGCCTGAAGAAAAGAAGACTTAGAGGAGATGTTTATTTGAAGGGCTATCATACAGAGCAGAATTTGATTTCTGCCCAGCTCCAGCAGACCTAGTAAACTTCACAAGGAGGAAGATTTCAGCTCAATACAAGAAAGAATTGTCTAAAAATTATAGCTATCTAAAAGTGGATAGGCTGTTTCAAGTAGTCCTGAGTTTCCCATCCATTAAGGTCTTTAAGGGGCAGCTAGGTGGCACAGTGGATAGAGCACCAGCCCTGGAGTCAGGAGGACCAGAGTTCAAATCTGGCCTCAGACACATAACACTTACTAGCTGTGTGACCCTGGACAAATCACTTAACCCCAATTGCCTCACTTAAAAAAAAAAAGGTCTTTAAAAGTATCAGTGCCTTCCCTCTGTTGATTAGTTCCGGTTTAGCCTGCACACATCTTGCTTATTCACACGTTTGTGTGTTGTCTCCTTCACTAGACTGTGAGCTCCTTAAGAGAAGGGGCTGTCTTTTGCTTTTCTGTGTATCCTCTACTATGTGTCCTTTCCTGACACATAGTAGGTACTCAATAAATGCTTAACTGACTGAATAATGAAATAATAATAACAATAATAGCAGTATTTGTAGAGTGCTTTAAAGTTTATATACATTATCTCATTTGAACCTCAAAACAATCTTATGAAGTAAACCTTCCAGATGATATTATTCTCATTTTACAGATGAGAAAATTCACTCAAAGAGGTTAATTGTTCTGCTTTGGCTGCACAGCTGGTGTCAGAGGAAGGATTTGAAACTAAGTGTTGACTGACTTCAAGTCCAACACTCTATCTAGGGGGCAGCCAGGTGGTGCAGTGGGTAGAGCACTGGGCCTGGAGTCAGGAAGACCTGAGTTCAAATCCAGCCTCAGATACTAGATGTGTGACCTTGGGCAAGTCATTTAATCTCATTCTGCCTCAGTCTCCTTATCAGTAAAATAGAGATAATAATAGCACCTACCTCCCAGGGTTGTTCTGAATTTCAAATGAGAGAATAACCATAAAGCTCCTGGCACATAGTAAGTGCTATATAAATGTAGCTATTGTTATTATTATCCATTACAGTCAAGTTAAATAAATTAACAAGAATCTATTAAGCAATACAAGTAATTGAATCAGGCATTTTGCTATGTGCTAGAAATACAAAGAAAGGCAAAAACAGACTTTACTCTCAAGGAACTTATAATCTAATGAGATGAAGCAACAAACAAGAGACACACACTCATATGGTTGTTGCTGAGTTGTTTCAGTTGTGTCCAATTCTTCACAACCCCTTTTGGAGTTTGCTTGGTAAAAATACTAGAGTGGTTTGCCATTTCTGTCATATGTATAGATATAAATATATACACACATATATACATATATGCACATGTACATATACACACGCATATATACGATAAATTGAAGATAATCTCAAAGGGAAGGCAGTAACATTAAGAGGAATTGGGAAAGGCTTCTTATAGAGATGAGATGTTAGCTGGCACTTGAAGGAAGCCAGGGGGAGGAGGTGAGGAGGAAGAGAATTCCAAGAGATTGCCATCTAAATTCTGTGGAGTCAAAAGATGTAAAGTAATGGAAAAGGAACAGCAATGAAGTCAGAGTCACTAATTCAGAGAGTAGGTGGGAGGGCGGGAGGGGTAAGAAAACAAGGATTGTAGGAAGGGCCAGGTTGTGAAGGGCTTTAAAAGCTACTGGAGTTTTTGCAAGGTGGGGGTATGGAGGGTAACACAGTCAGACCTGCATTTTAGGATGATTACTTCCTGAGTGGAGTATGAACCAGAGTATAGAGTGACTTGAAGCTGGGAGCTCACCCAGAAGGCTATTACAGTAGCCCAGCCTTGAGGCAACAAGGGCCTGTACCACAGTAGCAGCTGCATCAAAACAGAGAATAAGACTTATACGAGAGATGTTACAAAGGACAGGCGTAGCAACAGATTCCTGCAATCAAAGGAGAAATACCCAACCCAGGAGTGAACTTGGTGGGGACTCCAGGAAGGGAGAAAAGGAATCCATGGGGGGAAGAGGAGGGGAGTGGGAGAAAAAGGGTTGACATTAACTCTGAGAGGCTGCGTAGCATAGTTACTGTCTGCTCTTGAATTAGGGACATCCCTTGTAAACCCTCGGAGTAATATCTCACCTGCCCCTACCAGGGGTTACTGAAGTCCGTTGTTTCTGAACTTTTCTTCCCAGGTGTATACTTTGAAATTCTGAAACCAGTTGACTTCTTTTTCTCTAGGACAGCCAATCTGCAGGGGAGGGACTCAAAGGCCATGTTATAAAGTTGTTTACTTCCATGATGCTTCCAGAAGGGTCAGCTTTGATGAAGCCAGCATGGCCTGCCGCAGGGATGGAGGCCAGCTAGTCAGTGTTGAGTCTGAAGATGAACAGAGGTTGATAGAAAAATTCATTGAAAACCTCTTGGCTTCTGATGGAGACTTCTGGATAGGGCTCCGAAGGCGTGAGGAGAACCAGGGCAACAACAGCACAGCCTGCCCGGATCTGTACACATGGACCGATGGCAGCACGTCGACATTTCGGTAAGAATATGGAACCCAAGGGAGTGAAGAGAAATGAGACGTAGTGATGCCTGACAGTAGTGGATAGGTCGTCTTAGGATTAATAGAGTGTGTGTGTGTGTGTGTGTGTGTGTGTGTGTGTGTGTGTGCGTGTGTGTGTGTACATATTCCTTTTCCATTGTTTTACACCTTTTGATTCCATACATTTTCACTGGTAATCTCTTGGAATTCTCTTCCTCCTCACCTCCTCCCTCTGGCTTCCTTCAAGTCCCAGCTAAAATCCCATCTTCTATAAGAAGCCTTTCCCAATCCCTCTTAATGTTACTGCCTTCCCTCTGAGATTATCTTCAATTTATCATATATATATATATATGTATACATATGTATACACACATATATACATACATATATACACACACATATATACACTATATATATATACACACATATACATATGTAAAATGGCTTCCATACCTACTGGAATATTGTGAGTATGGGGCAGTCAAGATGGTATCATTCTCACTTTATCTACAAAATTCAGTGGGAAAGTAAAGTCTGATCTCTGTAGTTTTCATAAGATGTCTGGAGCCAACTTCTGGCCCCAGTGGTAGAAGTGAAACCAATGGGGTGGAAGTCATAATAGATAAATAAATTTTAGCTTAATTTTGCAAAATATTTGTAATAAGGCACCTAGGTGGCACAGTGGAATCCAAATGACTCATCTTCCTGAGTTCAAATCCAGCCTCAGATACTTACTAGCTACAAGTCACTTAACCCTGTTTGCCTCAGTTCCCCATCTATAAAATGATCTGGAGAAGGAAATGGCAAACCACTCCAGTATCTTTGCCAAGAAAATCCCTAATGGGGTCAAAAAGAGTGCGACAAGACTGAAAAATGTCTGAACAACAATAAAAATTAAATGAGCTGCTTTGTAAGGTAGTAAATTCCTTGTTACTAGAAGTACTCAAGCATAGCTTGGCTAATACTTCAGGAATATTTTAGTTGTGATTTACCTTCAGATAGCATTTACATTAAAAGACCCCTAAGATTCCTTCCAATTTTGAGATTGTATTATTCTGCCAGATCCAAATGACCCACAGAACTATCAGGATATCGTAGTTCTCACCTTTGCCAGGACTTATCTCTTTCCCCACCTTTTTTGCTCATATCAAACAGCAATGAGAAGCAAGTTAGTTTGCTGCTTACCTGCTCAGCTAGAAATAACTGAAATTGGAAAAGACATTTCTGTATATGACTCTCCCAACCCCCACACCCTCCATATTTGACTTATTTAGCCTGCTTGCTTTGTGCAATATTTGCTTATTTGCCTTGCCTCAAGAAAACTGAATTTTCCCTTGGCCACTCAGTTCTGAGAAGGCCACCCTAATTGTTCAAGCTTAGTGAAATAGGAACTTATTAAACTCTTGTTGAAATGGACTGTTTGTCTTGACCATCTATATGATCAGGAGGCATGGCTCTGAGATTAAAATCTCACTTCTATTACTTCCTACCTGTACGACATTAGGCAAGTCACTTTAACCACTAGCTTCTGTTTCTGAAACTGTAAAGATAGGGATGTGGACCTATATTTTGCCTTTCAGGTCCCTTCCAACTCTAAAGCTATAATCTTTGGGGGGTTTTTGTTTCTTTATTTTTCCAACTTAATTAGCAGCCTTGAGAGAGGCAGAAGCATATGATGGAGGATAGTGAGCTGGTCTCAGAGTCAGAAAGACCTGGATTTCAAGTCTTACTTCTGAAATGGTGTCTATGTGACCTGGGGCAAGTCGCTTAGTCTCTCAGTGTCCCAGGCAACTATTAGTTCCAGAGAAGGTGTCAATCTTCCTTAGTTGAGGAAATGAAATTATAGGTCTGGTCAAATTCAATTAGCAGACACTCTACTTGATACCAAAATGTATTATACAATACCATTTGGTACTAGAAAAAAAATTAGAAAAAGAAGATCAATGAAATAGGATAGAGAATCCAAAAAGAGAAATTAGTGATTCGTGCTTTAAAAACACTGGAGAATAGAATCATTATTCAATTTTAAAAACTCCTGAGAAAATTTAATAGTACACTGTATGATAAAAAAAAATTGATTTGGAGCCATACTTCACACCATATACCAAAATTAACCCAAGCTGAATCAGTGATCTAAATATTAAATAACAAATTATATAAAAGTAAAAAAGAATATTATAACTATCTCAACTTGTGGAGGTAAAATACTTTCATCAATCAAATAGAAGAAGAATTAGAAACAAAATTAATGGGTATAACTATATAAAGACAAATGGATTTTGCACAACAAAAACAATATCTCAAATTAAAAGAAAAAGTTGTTTAGGGAAAAATATTTGCAGTAAATATATCTATATATTTACTGATATAAAATGGTCAATGACATCAAGAATCTATAGAAAATTGGTACTTATTTATTATGTACACTCCCAATTGGGACAATAATTAAAGGACATAACCAGACACCTCAGAAAGAAGGAAATAGAAACTGTTAATAATCCCCAGAAGTACTGAAATTCCCTAATAATCAGAGACATATATATCAAAATAACCTTAAGCTGTTACTTTATACCCATTAACATGGCAAAAAAAACCCTCAAATGAAGATAAAACCCATTTTTATGTGGCTGTGGGGAAACAGACACATATATTATTGGTAGGACTGAATACTGTTAAAAACTTTGGAGAACAATATGGCAATATGCCATTGGTCACAGATCAGTTCATACCTTTAGACCCATTGGCTCCATTGCTAGAATTTTATCACAAGAATGTCATAAAAGTAACGAAGGACCTATCTGTGCAAAAATATTCACAAAATGGAAACAACCTATATTCCAGCAATTGGATAATGGTGGATATATAGTATTGTATATTAATGTAATTAATAGATTTTCATGATGCAACAAAATGATAAATATGAAATATGCAAAGAAATTTGAAAAGGCTAGTATGAAGTGAATAAAAGAATGAAGAAAAACAAAGTCACAATGAGATGCAGAATTTGGAGAAGGCCCGGAAGGGAACAAAAAGAAAGCATTTTCTTTGCTTCTTATTGTTTATTAATTCTTTTGATTCTACCTTTGTAAAGGCTAGGGACTTGGGAGTAAGATTTTGCCCTTCTTTAGGCTATTTGATTGCTTATTTTTATTGACATTTATTAAATTTACAATTTTAAAAGGCCTTTTTAATGAAAAAAACTAATTAGAAAAAACAGGAAATTTTTTTAAAATCTCCTATTTACTCCCAAAGTAAGTAGCCTTGCAGATGGTCTATGATGATGTCAACCTTCTTGCAAAGAGGTTGTGGCAAATGTCCAGTGATTGATTGTGACACATTGAGTCTAAAGTCTGTCCGTATCATTTATCTCAGCTTATCCCTCAGCCTATGGCATGGTCTGAAACTGTCTTAATTTCAGTTCCCTGGAGCTGGATGAAAAAGCCCAGGCTGAAGCTTTTACAGCACCATCTCCTGTGTGTCTTTATAGTTTATGTTCTTTCCTGTAGGAATTGGTATGTGGATGAGCCTTCCTGTGGGAGTGAGGTCTGTGTTGTTATGTACCACCAGCCATCAGCCCCAGTGGGCATTGGAGGCCCCTACATGTCTCAGTGGAATGATGACAGATGTAACATGAAGAACAATTTCATCTGCAAATATTCTGAGGGTAATGATTCACTACATAAGCCATGAATCACAGTTTCCAACCTCTTCTCTTATTTCAGAGGCAATGGGCATTAGTGGGAATTTGCATTTGTTAAGTGGATTCTCAGAATACATGTTCCAAAAAGCCAGAATTTTTAGCTTTTTGGAACATGAGAGAGACACAGAGAAAGAGGGAGAGACAGACAGAAAGAGAGAGAGAGAGAGAGAGAGAGAGAGAGAATAGTATACATTTCAGTTGAAGGGTCGATTCAAGAAATACTAGCAGTTAACCAAGAAGAAGGGGGAGAGGGGAAAAAAGGAGTGGGAGAAGGAGAGGACAAAGTGATCCCAGCTGATAAGGAAATGCAGTGGTGGCCTGACATTGGACGGGATATGAAGGACTGTAACAACTGTCACTTCAAGTCAACAAGCATTTATGAAGCACCTGTATGCCAGGTATTGAGTCAAAAGGTGGATAGCCACAAACTCGGCTTGTTTCAGGTGTGAGTTTTAGAAAAAGAAGAATTGTAAGAGGAACATATTCTTCTCTCCTGCAACGCTTCAAATCAAATGTTGTAAGAGCAGATTGTTTTCTACATCTGTTTCTGGATCCTCTCAGAAGTAATAGGAAAGCAAACCAAGAAGCAGAGAATCGAGACAATAAATAGATTTGGCTCAATAATGCTGGAAAGAGATAACAGGCATTATGGAAAGTGGACTTAAACATTCTACTCTACTCCCTAATAAGTATTTTGAATTAGATGGGCATATTGCTTCCAATTTTCTTTTAGAATTTTATTTTTGAATTGACTTAAGCTGCTCGAGCTTCCCAAACACTCCCATCATTGCTGGCTTAGGTCCAAACTGGAGACGATTTTCAATCAGTCTTTTCTTACCCCCAAAGCTGACTGCTTGGCCTCTATTTCACATTATAATTTCCAGACAGGTCTAGAGTAGATTTTACCGGTTGGATCTAATTTGGGACAAAAATAATACCTTCATTGAAGTGAATCTGAATTTGTCTGCCTTTTGGATTGTAATTTTGCTTTCAAGTTGTTTTTCTCTTTTTTCAAGTTTTATTTGCCTCCTGAGATAGAGAGGTGACTCCCTAGCGGCCCTCACACCCTACAAGTCCAATTTGGTCCAGAGAAAAGAAGGGCTTCTAGATAATACTCATAGGTCTCAATGGACTTTGCTTGTTTAAAATTTGATCTACTTTAAACTTTTTTGGGGGGGGGGGTATAACATTGTTTAGATTTGAAATTTTTTTGATGATTTTTGGAATTTGCCTTTTTTCCTAAATTTTCTCCTTTTCCTTAGTCCCCGAGCATGTTTTTATTGTCAGCTTTTCTAAAAAAAAAAAAATACAGGTTTTTTTTTTAAATTTTTGCCTTTTAAATTTTACTTACTTTCCACAAAATCTCTATCTGCCCTTTTTTTCTCTTCTCTCCTACCTGCTTCATAATTTCCAGCTCACTCAAACGGAACCTTTTTCCCCCACTTTCTGGGTGCCCTTCAGCCTAAAAATGATGAACATTAGAAATCCCTCCCATTCTGCACAAACATCCCAATGTCTTGGAACCAGGTCTGGAGTTGAAACATAGAGGCCTGAGTCACTGACACTTCTTCAGTATGTGAGGCTGGGCCAATCACTTAACTCAGCCTTAGTTTCATTCTTTGTAAACTGGAGTTAATAATACTTTACTACTTCCCTCAGGGGGTAGTCCTGAGGAAAGTTTCCCATCAACCTTAAAGTGCTGCATAAGTGTGAATTTTTATTATTTTTATTGGGACTGTCCTGGCTAATCTGGCCATCCCATCTTCAAGGAAAAGTTGGTGTGTAGCATGGTGTGGCTTTTAATGGATTCCATCCCCCACTGAGAGATGTGTCAGCTCTGTGTGTCTATGTGTATGCATATATGTTAAGATAGTTAGACATAAAAGTCATTCTTGGTCTCCTACCACTTTTTGATGGCACATGAGTCTGGGCATAATTATTATTCTAGTCTTATGGTCTAGCCAAGGGTACATTGAGCTCCTAAGTTCAGTATTTGTTATTATTTAAAATGATATCAGATCATAGGATTTAGAGCTGAAAAGGACCATCAGTCCAAATCCTTTACAGGTGGGGAAACTGAGTCTCAAAATGATGAGATGACTTGGCCAAGGTCACACAAGCAACTTGGTGCAATGAATAGGGCACTGGACTTCAGGTCATAAAGAGCTGAGTTTAAGTCGCGCCTCAGGGACTTCCTAGTTATGTGACCATAGGCAAATGACTTGAACAGCTGTTTCCCCATCTGTGAAATGAAAGGGTTATTCTCAATAGGCAGTAAGGTTCCTTGTAAGTCTGTGGTCCTATGATAGCAGAACTGGGATTCTTTCTGCTGTCCCAGAAGTTATAAGCAGGAGGAAGTTTTTTTTGTTTTGTTTTGTTCTAATTTATTTCACCTATATGACACAGAAAGTGAATCTTGTTCTGCTTTGTTTTCTTCAGAGAAACCAATACCAGCAGCTACTTCTGTGATATGGAGTCATTTACCCGGAGGTGAGTTAGCAGCCTCATATTTAAGATTGATAGCATTTATAAAGCCCTTTAAGTTTAGCAAAACACTTCCACAAATACAACCTCATGTGATTTTCACAACCCCATGAGAAGAGGTGCTGTAATTATCCCCATTTTACAGATGAGGAGACTGAGGCCGAATGAGATTAAGTGATTTGTCCAGGGTCACACAGTTAGTAAGCATCTGGGGCAGGATTGGAACTTAGATCTTCCTGACCCCAGAATTACAGCACTATCCACTGTGCCACCTAGCTAATGTCATTTCCCTATAGAGTTACCAGCCCTCTTTTACAGGTTTCAAAACCAGTTCTTCCTTGCACCAGACCAACTTGAAGGAAATACAACTGCTATTAATCTTTTCACCCTGAAAAGGAATCATGCCACCTTTTGGGGGGCATTAGAATCCTGGGACCTAGGTACAAATCTTGGTTCTTCTACATACTAACTGCGTGACCTTGAGAAAGTCTCATATCTGGGCCTGTTTCTTCATCAGTCAAATTAAGCAGTTTGTCTAGATCATAACTGGCAAGCAGGTGACTCACAACAGTCCCCAGTGAAGCCCAATCAGATTAAAATGTAACTGGGAAATATTTAACAAAATAAGTAGAAAATACAATAAAACATAAATAATATTATATTTTAAAACTAAGTTAATATACAGTCCAAAATTGATCCTTATGTATGGTTTGGAATCCCCTATTTCTTTTTTTTTCCTTAATGGTATTTTATTTTATTTTTCCAATTACATGTAAAGATGGTTTTCAACATTAATTTTTGTAAAATTTTTAGTTCCAAATTTTTCTCCCTCCCACCTTTCCCTTCCCCCTCCCCAAGACAGCAAGCAATCTGATATAGGTTATACATGTACAATCATGTTAAATATATTTCCACATTAGTCATGTTGTGAAAGAAGAATCAGAACAAAAGGGAAAAACCACAACAAAGAAAAAACAACAAAAAAGTGAAAATAATATGCTTTGATCTACATTCAGACTCCGTAGTTCTTTCTCTGGATGTGGATAACATTTTCCATCACAGGTCTTTTGGAGTTGTCTTGGATCATTGTATTGCTGAGAAGACCTAAGTCTATCATAGTTCATCATTGCACAATGTTGAGAAGCCCCTATTTCTATGTGAGTTGGATGCCACTGGTAGAGATGATCTCCAAGGTCCCTTCCAGCTGTAAATCAATGGTCCAAAGTCAAGCAAACATTAACTTATCTTCTTCTGGTGTTCTCTGAATGCTTCTCAAAATGCAAAACAACTGTTGAAAATATAATTTGTGTTATCAGAAATTTATCCACAAACTTTGTGCATGGCTCCCTTTAATCACACGAGATAGGAGCCAAAATGCCACCTCCAAACCCTTGAAATTATCACTAGCCAATACATAGGCCTTTCAACTCGCCAAACCTAGTTGCTTCATATGTCATGGTCTGGCACTTAGCACACTGCCTGGCACATAGTAGGTACCTGATAAATACTTATTGACTTGTTGAGTTTCAGACCTGCCCTTGAAAACCCACAAATTCAGGAGCTACCCATAAAAGCCTCGGCATCACAGAGCCTCTGCAGCAGGAAATTTAACCTCCTACTTTCCTAAAACATTTTCTTGAAATGCAAAGGTGAAGTTGCTTCTGCTTCTTTGCATTGCTTTTATTTAGCTCTTAGCACACTGTCCTGTTGGTGATCAATAAAGATATATATGATCAGTGTGGAAAAGGACACTGACTTTGGAGTCAGAGACCCGGGTTTGAACCCTGGCTACATTCCCTATTGTATGATCTTGGACAAGTCCCCTCACTTTTCTAGGCTCCAGGCCAGGTCTTCTTTCCAGGTCCCTCATCTGTTAAGTGAAGTTATTAGACTAGGCAATTGCTTCCAGGTTTTGTCTATTTTTAATCTTGGATATTGTGATTGATCTCTGCCATTTTTCATGCTTTTAATTCTATATGTCTACCTAGGTGATAAAAGAGAGCCAGTAACTCCAACACCTCCAGAAAGATCCCTAAAAGAAGATGCTAATGGAACAGTTAAAGAAACCAAAGGTACACATAGGACTTTCCTGGGGAAAAGCTAATGCCAGACTTCCTTCTGGCCACAGACCAGTCACAGATACATTTACCAGTTTGCTTTTTCCATACTTGCTTAAAAATGGGACAGTTAGCTTTCTCAATCCTAACTCTTGGGAGTTAGGGGTATATTCAAGCAGAGATGTCCTAAGGAAAATCAGAAAGACTGGACTGAAGAGGAGAAGCCAAGAGGGCAAATGTGTCTTCTGGGGATATATACATAGAGGAGGTGGGTAAACATATAGATGTAGAGAAATAAGAATTAGAAGGCCCAGGAATAAGGACTTCTCTGGGCCTGTTTCTTTATCAGTCAAATTAAGCAATTGGTTTAGATCACAGCATGTGACCCACAACACTCCCAAGTGATGCCCAACCAGATTAAAATGTAACTGGGAAATATTTAACAAAATAAGTAAAAATACAATAAAACATAAATAATATATAATATAGAAATAATAAATAATATAGAAATACAGAATTATAATTAATGTCCAAATGTTTTATTTTATATAATTACAATTATATTAATCATAACATATATATTTATAAATAATATGTAAATGAATAATGATAGTATATAATATGAATAATATATCTTAAAGAAAAATTAAAGAAATTTTTAAATTTAAATTTTAAAAATTTAAAGAAATATATTTTAAAGAAAATTTTGAAGAAAAACATAGCGGGACATAGCTAAGAGACAACTAGTAGCCCTTCACATCCTCAATGTTAGCATTGATCCTATTTCACCTCTTAGCTGGACTACTACAATAGATCTGTAATTGGTCTACCTGCTTCTAATCTCTCTCTCTTTGATGTGTCTCTCCCTCAACTTCCTCAACTTTCACGACTTCCATCTTCATTTCACTTTGGCAACTTATGAGGGTAGTTGTGCCTCATACTTCACCGACACTTAAAGCTCCTCCACCTCTAAGATCCTGCACTCTGAAATTCCTCCTCTGACCACAACTTCATGTCCTCCACCTTCTCCCACAGTTTCATTTCTCCTATTCACATCATTGGGAACTTGATCACTGGGACTTGATCACAACCCGCTCTCCCTATCCAAGGTGGACCACTAGCCGTTCCCCAGTCTGCTTTTGTCTCTTGCTTCCTTACATTTGTGCAGATTGTCTCACAGTCCTGGAGGCGACTGACTCCACATTTCTGTCCCTGGAGTCTTTCTTTTCCTTTAAGAACCGGTTTGATTACTATTTCCTTCACAAAACTCTGCCTGATTCCCTCCCTCTCCAATCTTTTATCCCTCTTTGGCTTCTGGAAGCTTTAACTTTAATTTCATAGTTAACATGACAGTTAACATACCCTAAATTGTATGGTGATTATTTCTGTAATTATCTTATCCCTCCACCACTGTCCATCCCTCTACCACACTGTCAATTCCACAAATGTTTATTAACTAGCTATTATCAATCAACAAACATTTATTAAGTGCTTCTTATATGCCAGGGCATTTCCTAAGTACTAAAAAAGACAAAAAGGGAGCCCACATTCTGAAGTGTAAGGTACCATGACAGGTAGACCCTGGTGATATGAATACAACAATGAAAGAGTGCCTAGGGGCAGCTAGGTGGCACAGTGTATAGAGCACTGCCCTGGATTCAGGAGGACTTGAGTTCAAATCCGACCTCAGACTCATAACACTTAATAGCTGTGTGATTCTGGGCAAGTCACTTAACCCCACTGCCTAGCCCCTCCCAAAAAAAGAGTGCCTGCCTTCAAGGAACTTAGATTCTACTGGTGAAAGATAAAACCTTGTAATTTAAGGAGAGACAGAGAAAGAAAAACACAGACAGAGACAGAGTGACAGACCAAAAGAGAGACACTGAGATAGAGAGAGCATATATTTATATCATAGTGGAAAAAAGCAGAGAAGGCTTCACGAAAGAAGTGACCCTTGAGCTGACACTTGCAGAAAGATAACAATTCTGAGATGTAGAAAGAAAGAGGGGGTGCACTCTGGACACATGGATGGCTCGTGCACCGAGGCAAAAGATGGAATATTAAGTTTGGAAAACAAGAGTCCATGTTGCCTAGCATATAGATTGTATGAAGGAAAGTAATATGAAATAAGACTGGAAAGATACTTTGGAGCAGATCTGGCTGAGGAGTTTGTATTTTACCCTAGAATCAATAAGGAACAAGTGAAGATTTTTAAGCCCGGGCCATGGCATGATCAGACCTGGGCCTTAGGGAGGTGATTTTGGCAGCTGTAGAGAGGAGAGATGGGAAAAGAGAGAGACTGGAAGCAAAGAGACCAAGGAGGGGCCCATTGTAGCAGCCCAGCTAAGAAATGACGAACTGGGGGCAGCTAGGTGGTGCAGTGGATCGAGCGCCGGCCCTGGATACAGGGGGACCCGAGTTCAAATATGACCTCAGACACATAACACTTACTAGCTGTGTGACCCTGGGCAAGTCACTTCACCCCATTGCCTAGCCAAAAAAAAAAAAAGAAGTGATGAGCTCCTGACCTACAGTAATGGCTACCTGGTGAGGTGGAGAGAAATGGATGGAGACGAGAGATATTGTGAAGTTAGATTCACTAAGACCTCAGCAACGGTTCAAATTTCACCTCTGTCCCATCTTGGATATGTGACCCTGTGTAAGTCACTTAACTTCTCAGTATCCCTAGGCAATTCCCAAAGAATATAAAAAGTGATAATATATTATAATATATAATTATATTCCCAAAGAATATGATAATAACAATATAAGAACAAGTGCTGATTTGCATTGGTCACCAGATTTTCCTCGTTGGGAATTCCCCGTACCAATAAAATGATAGGTCTGGCCCATAAACAAGCAAACAAAAGACAATTAATTAGCTATAAGGAACCAGGGGAGAAGAGATAATGAAATTCTAAGGTTACAGACAGGGATGGTTAGGATAATGGTTGTAACCCTTAATAGAAATATAGATGTTTGGAGGTGGGATGGGTTAAGGTGGGAGTGGGGAACCTGAAACCTCAAGGCCACATGTGACCTTCTACATCCTTGGGTGGGGCCTTTGGACTGAGTACAAGTTTTACAGAACAAATCCTTTTATTATGAGGATTTGCTCTGTGAACTTTGGATTGGGTCAAAGGGTCGCACGTGGGGACCTCGAGGACCACGTGTGGCCTTGAGGCCACGGTTCCCTACCCCTGGGAATAATCTATTCCATTTTAGGCATATTGGGATTGAGACACCTAGATGAAAGTTTTGAGCAGGCACTTGGCAATACAGGACTAGAATTCAGGAGAGAGGTTAGGGTTGGATACGTAGATTGAGCAGTCATCGGAGTATCAATGATACCTGTAGCAACGGGCACACATGAGATTACCAAGGGAGAAAGTTTATAGAGAAGAAAGAAGAAGACTTGACACAGAAAGAACCACTTGTTGTCATTAACCTCCATAATCACCACACCTAACTCTAACACCAAGGTCTTTGTCTTAGAAATGTTTAGAAGGTACAACAGTTTAGTTTATGTGTCATGGATTCTCTTCTTTCACAGTAATGACACCAACACTTCTAGTTTTCTAAAATTTGAACTTTCCTTACACACGGCTCCCATCTGTATTCTTATGAACATCAGCTGACCAAATGTCCCCTGCTTTTGAAGAGAAAATGAGGAGAGACAAAGATGGGCCCTCTCCTCCCCAGAAGCCTGTTTACTGTGAAACTAACAAAACAGAAAGAAGACTTAAATGTTGTCATTTCAAACAATGATGGTATGCAGATAACACAAAGTCAGGAGAGACAGCTAACACTCGGGATTAATACAGTCCAGATCCAGAAAGGTCTTGATGGGCTAGAATATTGGGCTGAATTTAAAAAGATGAAAATTATCAGGGATAAATGTGGCAGCAAGGAGTTAATAGACAGGGGCAGCTAGGTGGCACAGTGGATAGAGCAGTGGCCCTGGAGTCAAGAGGATCTGAGTTCAAATCTGGCCTCAGACACATAACACTCACTAGCTGTGTGACCCTGGGCAAGTCACTTAACTGCAATTACCCTTACCCAAAAAAAAAAAAAAAATGAGTAATAGACATATGGATGTCCCTACAGTCCGAAGACCTGAACTGATGTCCTGCCTCTGGCACACATTAACTATAAACCTTAGGCAAGTGACTTAGCCTCTCAGTTTTCCAGACAACTTTCTCAAATTATAAGTTGCAAAACAGTTGTTTGTCTGCATTAATAGACCAAGTTTCCTCGCCAGGACCCCAACCTAAACCAATGGTATCACAGATATGACTGAAAAGAAAATCTCATTTTCCTCTTTCTAAGGTTGTTGTTGTTATCCAGTCGCATCAGACTCTTTGTGACCCCATTTGGGCTTTTCTTGGCAAAGAGACTGGAGTGGTTTGCCATTTCTTTGTCCAGCTCATTTTACAGATGAGGAAACTGAGGCAAACAAGGTTAAGTGACTTGCCCAGGGTCACACAGCTAGTAAGTGTCTGAGGCCACGTTTGAACTGAGGAAGATGAGTCCTCCTGACTCCCGGCCAAGCCTTCTATGTGCTATGGTGCCACCTAGCTATCCTTTTCTGAGGTTAAACATTCCCAATTCCTTCAGTCTTTATCTGACATGTGGTATCAAACTCAAATAGACATGGGGACCAGTAACCCCTGTGGGCCACATATTTAGTTTAAAATGTAATGTCATCTACGTTTTATTGTATTTTTTATTTATTTTGTTAAATATTTCCCAATTACATTTTATTCTGGTTCAGGACCTTGTGTTTGCCACCCCTGCCCTAGAGGTTCACCATGCTGGTTGCCATCCTCTGGGTAAGTTTTTCCTCCCATCAAGCCCAGATTTATCCCTTTGCTCCTGGTTGTACCCTGGGCCAAGCAGAATAAGTCTAATCTCTTTTCCAAACACAACAGCCCCCCAAATACCTGAACACAGTTCTCATGTACGCCCTTCAGTGCTCCAGTTTAGGAAGGACCCTGATAAGCTGGAAAAGTTTTTCCAGAGAAGAACAGGCAGCATAATCAAGTCATCAAGCCTTTCTTAAGTGCTTACTGTATGCCAGGTACCACGCCAAGCACTGAAGGCACAAGGAAAAGTAAAACTATTTCCTACCCTCAAGAAACTCCCATTCTAATAGAGAAGACAATATGTAAACAGCTACACACAGACAAGACATATGCAAGGCAAATTGGAGTTAACTTCAGAGGAAAGGTACTAGAAGTGGGGTTGGAAGAGGAGGTACAGTAAAGACCTAGGATTTCATCTGAGTCTTGAAGGAAGCTGAGGAAGCTAGGAACAAAGAGGGAGAGTATTCATTCTAGGGATGGGGGACAGAGATTTTAAAAAGCAATAAGTTGAGAGAAGGAATGATATGTGTAGGCGCAGCAAGGGCAACCAGAATCACTGGAGCATAGAGTATGTGGACCCCGGGAGGAGCAATATGTAAGAAGATTGGAAAGGTAAGAAAGGGTGAGATTGGGAAGGGCTTTAATAGACAAACAAAGGATTTTTTTTATTCGATCTTGAAAGCAATAGGGAGCCACTGGAGTTTATTGAGGAAGGGAATGATATGATCAGAGCTGCTTCAGAAAGATCATTTTGACAAGTGAATAAAGGATGGACTAGAGTAGGGAGAGACTTGAGACAAACAGCCAGAAGGCTATGGTGTCTTCTAGGTGTGAGGGAATGAGGGCCTGCACTAGGGTATTGTCTGAACGATGTATTGGGACAGATGTAGCAGAGGTAAAAATGATACAACTTGGCAACAGATTGGATCTGGAGGGGGCGGGGCAGTGAGTGAGAGTGAGGAACACCAAGGTTGACTGGGAGGACAGAGGTGAAAAATAAATAAATAAATAAGGTTTGGGAGAAAGGGGATGAGTTTTGTTTTGGTTTTTTTCTAGAGTTTAAAATTTCTTCTGGAAATCCAATTCAAGACATCCAATAGGCAGTTGGAGATGAAAACTGTAGATCAAGAAAGAGGTTAGAGCTAGATTCTTAGTACCTAAGAATCATCTGCATAGATGATAATGGACTCTATGAAAGCTGATGAGTTCATAGTAAGATAGTCTAGGGGAAGAAGAGAAGACCTCCAAGGTCAGACCTTCAGAGAACATCTATGGTTAGCAGGTGTGGCCTGGATGAGAATCCAGTAAATTAGGCTGAGGGGGCAGCTAGGTGGTGCAGTGGACAGCACTAGCGCTAGAGTCAAGAAGACTTGAGTTCAAATCCAGCCTCAGACACTTACTAGCTGGGTGACGCTGGGTAAGTCACTTAACCCTATTGCCTCCCAAAAATAAATAAATTAGACTGAGAAGGAATGGTCAGGCAGGTTAAAGGAGAAAGCAGTTTCACCCATAGAGGAAAGAATATCCAGGAGAAGAAGGTGATCAACAGCATCAAAGGTTATAGAGAGAGAGTAAAGAGGGATGAGCATAATTGTCAATTAAGAGATCATTGATACCTTTAGAAAGAGCAGTTCTGGTTGAATAATGAGGTTGGAAACCAGAATGTAGGGAGCTTAGAAGAGAGTAAAAGGAGTGAAAGCAGGGACATGAATTATAGACTGAAGAGTCTAACTATAAAAGAGAGGAGACATCTACAGGACGGTAGCTACTGGGGATGGTTGCATCAAGTGAGAATTTTTTTTAAGGATGAGGAAGACGTGAGCTTGTCTGTAGTCAGTAGGGAAGAAGCCAGTAGACAGGGAGAGATTAAGATTAGTGAGAGAGTTGGGATGATGGAGGGGACAATCTGCCGGAGAAGACTGATAGAATGGGATCTCTTGTGCATGTAGAGGGTTTCACCTTGGCTAAGATAAGGGAGGGACACCTCTCATGTGAGATACAGATGAAGGAGGTGAAATGAAGAGGAAGGGGGAGAGGGAAGGAAAAAGGAACAAGCATTTAAGTGTTGATAATGTGCCAAGCACTGTGCTAAATGCTTTACGAATATTATACCATTTGAGGAGGGAGCTCTTGTCGAATGGCCTTAATTTTCTCCATGAAGTATAAGGCAGACTTCTCAACTGAGAGTTTGGTTAGGTTGGAGTTCCATGAGAGGTTTGAAAGGAGGTGGAAAAGGTTTGGAACAGCCACTGGTAAGGAGAAGAGTGAATTGAAGTGACGCCCATATTAGATGTGAATAGAATGAAGGAGCCTAGGGTTTTAACCTGAAGAGGAGAAGACTTCAGGTATTTGGGTGACTGTCATATGAAAGAGTCTAACAGCATGAATTGTTATGTTTGAATCGCAAAGATGCTAATTTAAGCTTGATGGAAAGAAAAACTTCCTAATAACTATATATGTGTGTGTGTGTATGCATATATATACATATATATATGCATACACATACACACATATGTATATAGTTCAATATATATATAGAATTACTTATATACTGTATATTTTATGTGTGATTAATATTTCCATGAGTATGCATACTTATATATATACATGCATATGTGTTGTGTGTGTATGCACATACATAAACATGCAATGTGTGTTGTGTTGCACATATATGTATGCATGCATGCGTGCATGTGTGTATATGCACATGTGTATGGAATTGGCTTCCTCAGGAGGTAATAGACCCCACCCTTATTGAGAGTCTTCAAGCTGGATGACCATTTGTCAGGCATGTCTTAGAGAGGATTCTTTTTCAGATATGGTTTAAATGAAATGACTACTAATGTCCCTTACAACTCTGAAATTTTGTGAAAGACCTTTTTTTTTTCTTAAAGAACACACAAAATTTACAAATAGTGTTCGTGTGTATTCATCTCTTCAGGGGCTGATCTGAATCTTGCCTACATCCTTATTCCCAGCATTCCCCTCTTCCTTCTTCTGGTGGTCACCACAGTTATATGCTGGTTATGGATCTGTGGAAGGAGGCAAGTAAAATCATCCTACCTAATGGAAATGTGTGTGTGTGTGTGTGTGTTTACTACATAAAAGCACTCTTTCTCTACTTAGCTTTGAAGTTAAACACTATCGCTGTTTATTTAGTAAAAGGCTGGGGAAGCATCACTCCAGAAGACACCATTCCAAATTTGAAAACAAATCCCCAAGTGTACTCCAAGAAGCCAAATGAGCTAAGAATTGTTTTTATTACTGGCATCATGACAGTTCTCTTTTTTCCCTTTGTATTAAGTTTGGTCTCCCTAATGAGGTTATATGTTCCTTAAAAGCAATTACAGTAATATGTACTTCTTCGATATTCTCACAGAACCTTGTACAATTCTTGATACATAATAATCAATGTATAGATAATGAATGAATTAGTACAGTGGCCAGCACCCGAGCTTTGGAGTCAGCAGGCCAGGGTTCAAATTCTGATTCTACTACTTACTACTACATGAGACTTGAACTAGACTAGATAATCTTTAAGGTTTCTTCCAACTCTATATCTGTGATCCTAAGACCTACCAAGGATATCCCTACTTTATGTTTCCTTGGCTGAAACGTAAGCTCTTTACAGGAATCATGTTTTATACTTCTCCCTATCCTCCACAGTGCCTGGCCCGATACTAGGAATATGGCAGGCAGTAGATGAATTCTAAAGGAATGAATGAATGAATTGCATGATCACAAAAATCTAAAGCTAAGACACTTAATTCAAATAGAATCACTGAAGTCCATTTGGAATGGTTTCCTTTTTAATTGAGTGTACAATAGTCACAAAATAGCCAACTTGCTCTGTAGAGAATACTCTAATGATTATATTTTGATTACCCTAATGACTATATTAGTGTAGTACAATTTTTCTAAGAGTCTACTCAGTGAGGGAAAGAAAGTTATTTTTTCCATTTGGCAGAGAGAAAATAGAGACTTGGGTTAGGGGGTTTACTTTTTAGCTTCTTAATAAGATTGGCTTAATATGACTTTGTAAAGTTCTAGTGGAAGTCTTTACTTTAAAAGTCAATAAAGCAACTGAAATCGGACCTTTAATTCCAAAAAAAATAGTTCAACATAAAAAATTGCACTTATGTTTTGAAATTAATTATTCCACTTTAATTCCCTGTCATTTCCTTTATTCACTACTCTATCAGGATTCAGGCCTTATGCATCTTATTTGAAGAAGCATGATTCCCATCTCATATGAATCTTTGCAAATGAATAAATAATATAAATACATATTTAGTAAGGGTTTGTTGTGGGCAAAGCACTGTGCTGAGTTCTAGAGGTACGAATAGCATAAGACTGTCCCTGTTCTCAAGGAGCTCACATACTAATAAAGTTAGATAATGCATATAGGAAGTTTCAAGTACAAGTCAGATGGAAAGGCCCAGTCATTCCTAGGGTACAGGGGCAAAGTAGAACAGGATACATCTTCTGTAGTGTCATTTCCATCAATAAAACCATTTCCATTTCTGATGTTGAACCATTTGATAGTACCAAGAATTTTGGTGTCAAGAATTTTGTTTTCTGAGTTTTCAGTAGCTATGGCTGCCTAGTAGGTTGGGGTATCAGTACCTGCAGAGACAGTTGCCAGGGTGCATCTTTGCAAATGTTACCTCCCTGTAGAATTATTTCAGGAGTTAGGTTATAAGCAGAGCTGCTGCTCTATAGAGCACTGCTATGCTCGAGGCACCTGGGCACAGGGCTGTGGGCTGTTTCCACAAGGGTCTGAGGGAAAGCGGTAGTTGAGGTGGTCATAGTGGTTTGACCTGGCTGGCACATGGAAGAGTTGTCTATTCTCTGAGATTGAGAATATGATATACAATAGTTAGGGGACTCTTGCAGCAATTATCTCTCCATAATTCCCAATCTCTCACCTTCAACAAAATTTTTTCACATAATTTAAATATTGTGTTCATCCTCAAAATCACAATTTCCCTCAAATATATTTCCATGCCAGCCCTCTACCCAAGTGGCCTTTGGTAGAAGAACATAGCAGCATCTCCTGTAGGACCAGAAATAATAAGCTGGTTTATTTTATTTACAGGAAACGAGAGCAGACAGAGAACACAAAGGAGCCAAACATTTGGCCAGCTCCCCACAGAAGGAATAGTCCTGACCTGGAAGTTTATAATGTCATAAGAAAGCAAAGTGAAGCAGACTTAACTGAGCCTCGGCCAGACCTGAAGAACATTTCATTCCGGGCCAGATCTGGAGGAGCCACTCCCAATGACTTGTCTTGTGACTATGATAACATAGTAGTGAATGCCTCTGAGAGCGGCTTTGTGACTCTGGCAAGCATGGAAAGTGGGTTTGTGGCCAATGATATCTATGAACTATCCCCTGAGAGGATGGGGAGGAACAAGGAGTCTGGCTGGGTAGAAAATGAAATCTATGGTTATTAGATAACCTGGGAAAATCTGAACTGATAACAAAGTAGAAAAGAAAGAGAAAAAAATGTTCCTACTTTGTATAAAACTGTCAGGACTGGAATAGGGCTGACATCTGAACACTTGGATGGAGCTGTGGTCTTATCAATATGGAGACTCCCTCCAGCTCTGAAGATCTCAACTCAGCTGTGTTTGCCTATCCTGTGCAAGTGTTGTTCATGTCCTCACTTAAATCTGCCATAGGGGGTCCACCCAACCTGGCAGGGACCTTTCTCTGGTTCTCTTGGTTTTGTAAGGGATAGCAGCAAACTGTGCATCAGTTACATAGCTCTTACTATGTGACCGGCCCATTTTTTTCCCAGTCATACTTTTTCTGATAACATCTTTTGCACTGCTTCTCCTGCACAATTGCCTAGGGTCCTGTGTTGCAGCCTGCTCATGCTCACACCATGTACTTCTCCACTACCCTTTTTGGGTGATTTGCAATTTCCATTTTTTGGAGACTATAGTATTCCATAACTCACAGCTGTACAGTATCATCAGGAGAACGTTGATGTTAAAAAGATGGGCCTATGTTTCAGGGAAAAGCTCAGGGTCATTAAAAGAATAGTGCAATTTTCCAAAGGCAATCCAACCCAGTCACCTACCCTCTTGGGCCCAGCTTATTTTCCAGTTGCAGTTTTCTAAGATACACCTACTTCGGGATGACTTCTGTGGACCATCCATCCAACAAGTTATCACAATTCAGACAAAAGGCACTTTTTAATCTGCTAGGTTTTTCCTGTATGGGTAGTTAAGTCAAAGACTTAACATTCCAGACCTTGACGAAATCAGCAGAATGTCACCCATGAATGGCACCTATATGGAGAACCTTCCCATCTAAAAGGAATCCCTTTTTTTATTTATATTCTGCACTAAACATCCTCCATATTGGTGGCAAATACCATTGGCAAACATAAACCTCCTGGTTCATGCTTTGCTTTATATAAATTAGAGAGTCATTGAAACAAAGTTATTTCTGTTATTACAAATTTCAAGGAGTCTTGTATGAATTTCACAAATGCATGGTGCCTGGCATGAGAAAAATCAGTTCAGATACAGAAACAATGAAGAGAGTTCTTCCTGGTTGTTAAGATTTTGTTAGCTCTGCTGATCCCAGTGTTCCCTACCAGGCTAGGTCTCAACCTTATCTTAATCGGAGGGCAGCAATGGTGGTGATTGACAGTGGAGGTTGGGAAATTTCCTTCTGGGTTCTATTTTTGTGGCTCTGGGCCATGGCACAAAAATTAATTGCACGTATACAATCACGAAAATGCATTAGCTTGCTATCTTTCTTATGTTTCCCAGGGCACATGTGGGAGTATCAGAAGCTGATTGTATGAAAGAATATTCCCTTATCTGTATGTCCCACAGAATAAGAATGAAATAAAAGGTGAAAGAGATAGCAAATTGATCATTCTCTCTCTCTAGGTTTTCCTCAACCTTTGGCTTCAAAGGCTTTCTTTCTTCCTTTTACCATATTAGAAATATTCCAATATTCTGAAAACTAAGAGAAATCCAATCCATGGCTTCAAAGCCTTTCAGTTTTTCCTCTAAGCCCTGTTATTCCTTTTTCCAATGTGACAACTTATATAGAGGTTAGGAACTTTTATCCTAGAACTTTTGGTATCATGATTGTTTTAAATAGGTTTGGCCTAAGATCCAGAGGGTAGATCCTTGGTCTATTATTAATTATCACCAATTCATAAACCTAAAAGGCATTATTGTTGCCCTGAAACATGCAGCTGGGTGGTACAGTGGATAGGGCACTAAACACAGAGTTAGAAAGACCTGAGGTCAAATACAGCTTCAGACATTTAGTAGCTGTGTGACCCTGGGCAAGTCCCTTAACCTCTGTCTGTACCAGTTTCCCTACCTATAAAATGGGTATAATTATAGCACCCATCTCACAGGGTTGTTGTAAGGATCAAATGAGAAAATATTTGTAAATATCTTTGCAAACCTTAAACAACACAGAAATGCTAGCTATTATTGTAGTTGGGTGTTTAGCTTGAAAAGGCTTTTTATGGAGCTATAGAAGTAGAGAGAAATAGTTTTAAACTATTTTTATGGGTTTTGTTTTTTACAAATTACTTTTTTTAAACATGTTCTAACAAATGACTTCCATAAGCTACATTAATGAATTAGGTCAATAAGATTTAATACCTCTATTTCTCCCTAATCCTCATTGAGATTATGATAAAAAACCAAAGTTTATTCCTACAATATCTTACCATTATAGCCCTACTCCTGACATATGCAGTTTATTAAATATGATGACTCCTAGATCTCTTTCTGATAGGTTTACGTATTTCTAGCCTTGCCCCATCTTATAGGTTTGTAATTTCCTTTACCTTCTCAGAGAAACTACCATTAATTAATCCTAATTGAGCACCATCTTCTCTCTAATCCACTTTACTCAATTTAAATTTGGATTCTATTTTCCAAATTGCTTTCTATCTCCTTTCCCTATCCACCTTGTGGTTGGAAACTTATATGGAAACTATTCTCTCTTCTATCATTTAAATCATAGAGTCATAGAATTTTTAGAGTTAGACAATGGTTATTAATAAAAATGTAAAGGGTTGTAGCCCTACATTTTCATGACTCCATTATAAGCATTTTATGAGTTGGGTCCTCCAGCCAATTGTCCATACATACACCCATACATACATTTCATTCCCTTCTCTCCCTTCTTCCTATTCCCCTCCAAAAGTTGTATGATTTAAATCAGTCTTCTTAAATGAAAACTACCTATCTGTCTTAAGTTTGTAAAGCTAATCTATTTGCACATCTGCAAAAATTTATTTAGTTTATTAGATGATCTTTTGAACAAAAAGACACAAAACTACATGTAATTCATTGTGGGTTGTGGGGTTGAGATCCCTGATCTAGATTGTTCTGTGCCCTAAGACATTTTCCCCCTAATTTATTGATGAATGACTCTAGTAAGATGGACTCCATAGTCTCACTAAAGTGAAGTTGGATCATGCCTATGATAAGTGGTAATTTGAAGACATAAAAAAATTTTTCATAATAAAAAGCAAAAAAAAAAAGCATCATTAGTAAGATTTACAAAGCCACACTGTGATAGTTTCATTTTTGCTCATTCAGATCAGTGATACTAATTAATTACTCATATTAAATTAAGATTGCATCCTGGTCATTAATTATACAGAGGGATTATAACTAAAACTAATTATAAGGACTAAATGACTACAAACAGGACAAGATCAATAAGGGAAATGAGTTTTACATAGATTCAAATATCTAAATAGATATATATGTACACACATATACTATGTATATATGTTTAAATTTTATACACAAACACACATACACAATGTATATACATATCAGAATTTTAGTCATCAAAAAGAAACTCAGAGTTCATCAAATCCCATCCATGACTGAGCAAGACCTCCCTTCTATGAGACCAATAATCAATCAACAAGAATTTATTAAGCTCCTACTGTACACTGGGCACTGTGGTAGGCAAGAGAGATATAAATACAAAGGATGAGACGATTTCCATTTGCAATGAGTTTTCATTCTAATGGGGGAGATGAGTACTTATAAAAATATATGTAACGTAAAGTTGAGATATATATATATAGAGAGAGAGAGAGAAAGGGAGTAGTCCAAAAGTCAGCCCAATTTTAAGCCATTAAAGCTTAGAGCACCCTGTATTTATTTATGTATATATGTATATATAATATTATATGTATATAATATATGATACATAATATATGTATATGATATATGATACATAATATTATATTATATAAATACAAAGGCATCTACAAGGTACTTTGGGAGGGAGGGCACTCATATATGGGGGAGCAGGAATCCGGAAAGGCGGAACATATTGACTGAGCTACATCTTAAAAAGAAGAGAGCAAAGGTAAGGAAGGAGAGAATTCCAGGGCATGGATGCCTGAAAAGTGACCATCTAGGCTCTGATTTAAGATCTCTCATAAAGTATAGTTTCCAGTCCCCTCTGGGGGACTGGTCTTGATCCTATTCTTCTGTATACATTCCAACCTGTCAACGTCCTTCCTAAAATGCAATGCACAGAACTGAACACAGTAGTCCAGATGTAATCTACTGAGGACAAAGTGCGCTGGAACTACAGACCCCCTCATTCTGGATGCCTTGTCTCTATTAATGCTTGCCACATCACATTGTTGACTCATGTTGAGATTAAAGTCCACTAAAACATTCTGTTCTTTTTCACATATTATCTAGTCATATCTCTCCCATCCTGTATTTGTAGAGTGGATTTTTTTTAACCCTAGTGTAACTTCACATTGATCCCTATTATGTTTCATCTTAATCAATTCAGCATGTAATTCTTTCCTGTTAAGAACTTTTAGGATTCCAATTCTATCATCCAATGTGTTATCTATCCCTCCCAGCTGTGTGTCATTTATAAATTTGATAATTTGCCATCTAAGCCTTATTTGATAAAATTGTGTAACAGAACAGTCAAAAAACTCTTATTGCTCTGTACTAGAAACTTCCTTCCAGGTTAATATCAATCCATTAATCATTATTCTTGGTATCCAGTCATTCAGCCAACTCCAAATCTCTTTCATGCTGTTGTGGTACAGTATACATCTCTCCATCTTCTCAAGCAATCAGCAAGCATTCATTATGTATCTACTATGTGCCAGTCACTGTGCTAGGTTCTGGGGATGCAAAGACAAAAGGAAAACAGACCCTGTCTTCAAGGAGTTTATATATATTTAGGTGATTGGGGTCACACAGCTAGGAAGTGTCAAGTGTTTGGTCTGAGGCCAGATTTGAACTCAGGTCCTCCTGACTTCAGGGTTGGTGCTCTGTCCACTGAGCCACCTAGCTGCCCAAGGAGCTTATATTCTACCAGGGGAAACAAACACATACATATGTAGTTCCACCTTCTTGTTGCAAAATATAGTGTATACAGAATAGACACAAGGCAATTTTTGAGGGGAAATGCACTAGCAGTTGAGGATATCAGAAAATAACTCAATAGAAGGTGGTACTGAAGCTGAGATTAGGAATCCTTGGAGGTGGAGGTAAGGAGAGAGTGCATTCCAAACTATAGAAAATGCCAATAGAAGATGTGGAGATGGGAAATGGAGTATCATGTATAAAGAATAGTAAGAAGGCTAGGATAACTGAGTCATGAAGTACATGCAGGTCAGTAGTGTAAGAAGTAGGGAAAGGTAAGATGGAGGAAGGCTGTAAAGAAGTTTGAATGCCTGATAGAAATGGTTATAGTTGAGCCTAGAGAGCAGCTAGGTTGCACAGTGGGTAGAGTACTAGGCTTGGAGTCTGGAAGACCTGAGTTTAAATCCAACCTTAGACATTTACTAGTTGCGTGACCCTGGGCAAGTCACTTAACCCTGTTTGTCTCAGTTTTCTGCAAAATGAACTGGAGAAGGAAATGGCAAAATGCCTCTGTATCTTTGCCAAGGAAACCCCAAATGGAGTCAGTAAGAGTCCTAAACGACTGAACAACAACAACAAGAGGTGATAGGGAGCCATTGGAGTTTATTGAGTAGGAAACTAATTCCCTAACCAAGATTACTATCTTAAATCCAGGAATATTATATTTATGATTCTAGTAATCCCACTTTTTTTTTTTTTTGGTGAGGCAATTGGGGTTAAGTGACTTGCCCAAGGTCACACAGCTAGTAAGTGTCAAGTGTCTAAAGCTGGATTTGAACTCAGGTCCTCCTGACTCCAGAGCCAGTGCTCTATCCACTGCACCACCTAGCTGCCCCTCCTACTTTTTTTTTTTTAAGAGAAAGACGAGGTTAGTCTGGAATGAGCTCTTAGAATGGATTAAGTTCTTAGTATAGATGATTTAATGAAGTATTCTAGAATTTTCCAAGAAGTAATATTAAGCCCACTATCCTATTTTAAAAATCAAGGTCTTTTTGAAAGTTGGAACCATATTTATCCATCTCTTCTCTTGCAGCATCATTCCTATTCTCCATGACTTGTAAAAAAATCACTAGAGCAATGACAGTCTCAGATTCTTTCATAATCCTATGACTCAGTTCATACATTCCTGGTATCAAGGGCAGCTAGGTGCTATTATTTATCTTGGGTTTCAATTCCCTATCATTTGTTTTTGTTCTATACGTGTACCTGAAAATCATTTTCCTTGGTAAAGAAAACTGTCCTTGATTATTGTTATCCTATTCTGGCCAAGCCTTGGTTCTGACATTATTCTTATGGGGTCACCACTTGTGAAAAGGTGGAGGTGGAAAATGGAATATCTTGTCGAGGAAGCAGGTAACAAACCAATTTTACTAGAATGGTGGTTATAGGAGCAGCTAGGTGGAGAGGTGAATAGAACACCAGCCTTGGAGTCAGGAGGACTTGAGTTCAAATCTGACCTTAGATACTTGA